ATAGGCGGTTGGACACGGAAGTCTGCACTGCTAATGTACAAATGTGTGCTATCTCACTAATTTTTAGGACAAACAGCGCCACTATAGCCAGTGTGTACAGGAGTCCGGGAGCCACCGTAGATGAAGATGAGCAACTGACCAGGGCGCTGGATGCACTAGCACAGTCCAGACAAAAACTGGTGATTGCTGGGGACTTCAACCTTCTTGGCATCCAGTGGACCACAGAGACCTGCTCGGATGGTTCACCAGAAGAAAGGTTTCTGGAATGGATACACTCCAGAGCCCTCTTGCAACACGTGAAGGAAAACACCAGGTTCAGGACCGGGCAAAATCCACCACTCCTGGATTTGGTGTTTACTAAATACCAAAGGGACATAGAAGATCTCTCGTTTCACCCACCTATATGGAAGAGTGATCCTCTGGTGATAAAAGTGACTCTCAATTCAAGGGAATCCAAACCGCCTAACCAGAAAGTTAGGAATTTGAGCAACATGGACAGAAGCAGCCCGCCGGCACGAGCCTTAACCCTAGAATAGGGAGCAGAAAATGACCAGACCACAGTAGAGGCCCTCTGGCATAGAATCAGAAGTAACCTACGGGAACTCCGAAACGAGTTTGCATCCCTTAAAATTCGGAAAGGCTGTAATAAGCCTCCATGGTCTCCAGCAATAAGGAGAGCACTAAGGAAAAGAAACAGAAGCTGGAGACACTACAGGGAGGTCAGTATCCAGTTAGCATGGACAGACTACACGGTCCAGAGAAATAAGGCAGTCAGTCTTATAAGAGTAGAAAAGAGAAAATATGAATTTAAGTTAGCTGAAAACATCAAGTAGAAACCGAAAACATTTTTCAGCTACCTCAAATCGAAACGCAACTTGAGGGATCTCATAAGTGCTTTGGTTCTAGAAAACAACACGATTGCGGCAAACGACCACAGCAAGGCAGTAGCTTTGGGCAACTATTTCGCTATTGTTCATAGGTCAGATAACAGGACACTAGAACCTAGATCTTCAAACTCTCTTCCACCGAGCATAAGGGAGATTCAGATATCTGCAGTGGAGTTGCAAAAGATGCTAGGGGATTTGGACATCAATAAGGCCCAGGGTCCCGATGGCTTATATCCTGCCATTTCAAATCCTAGCAGACCCCTTAGGGGTGTTGTTTCAAAAATCACCAAAGGAGAGGGTGCTTCCGGGCGACTGGAAAACTGCCGTTGTGGTGATCTTACACAAAGGTAGTAGTAGATCTAACCCGCAGCACTACGAATCGGTTAGCTTAACTAATATTCCATGCAAGTGCATGGAAAAGCTAATCAGAACACATGTCTGTATTCACCTTGTAGAACATGCATTACTTAGCATGGCCCAGCATAGTTTTATGAAAAACCGGTCGTGCCTGACAAATCTCTTATGCTACCTAGACGAAGTCACAGAGAGGGTAGACGAAGGCAACACAGTAGAAGTATATTACCTAGATTTCAGTAGGGCGTTCGATTCCGTAAGTCATAGACTGCTTCTAAATAAGCTACTTTTTTCGGAATCACAGGAACAATATTTAAATGGATGGAAACATTATTGATCAATAAGACATTCTGGGATAGGGTAGGAGAACAAACTTCCTAAGTCCTTAGTGTCACAAGTGGCGTGCCACAAGGGTCGGTGTTAGGCCTGCTTCTATTTCTGGTGTTCATAAATGATCTAGCAGAAATTACCAGCTCATCTTGCTTCATCTTCGCTGATGATGTAAAGGTGGTTGGATCTAGTGGAAAAGCCGACTTAGCAGAGGATACAACAAAGGTGGTCAAGTGTTCCCACACATGGGATCTGCCACTAAATGCAACAAAGAGTCGGTTGCTCTCAAGAACTAGGGAACCATTGAAGGCACTCGGGGACTGGGAGCAATTCGAAGTAGGCACTGTAACCGGTCCCAGGGATCTAGGAGTAATCGTAATAGCAGACTACAGTTGGAGTACCCAATGTGAAGCTGCAGCACACATGGCTAGGCGACAACTATTTCGACTAAGGTCAGCGGTTCCGTGTAGGAAAGCAGAAGTATTTATACCCATCTAAAAAGCCATCGTAAGGCCTCACCTAGAATACTGTGTTCAGGCTTGGTCGCCCACTACCAAAAGGATGCAGTCTGCCTGGAGAAGATACAGAGACTAGCATCAAGGATGGTTGAGGGTATGCGGGGTAAAACATACAAAGAAAGGTTGTACGCGCTCGGAATGTTTTCGCTAGAAAAAAGGAGATTGCGCGGAGACCTCATCGAAGTATTTAAGATTTTAAAAAATTTGTTGGCTTCAGATTCGGGGTCTTTATTCACTAAGGCTTCCCATCAAGAAACGCGTGGACATGAGCTCAAACTTATGAAACAGCGTTCTAGGCTGAACTTACGAGCAAATTTCTTTGGAAATAAGGTAGTTCAAAACAGGAATAAGCTACCGTCAGAACTGATTCTGCAGCCAAACGTTCAAGCCTTTACAAGAGCCCTGGACTTCAGATGGTTGGAGGTCTTCTCTGACATAGAATTTTAGGTGCATTAATTGTTTTTATGTAATATGGAACGCTTTCACAACAAAAGTCTCTCGCCGACACGGCGAGAAGTGAAGTCTCTCTTTCTCTCTGTTTTCAGATAGAAAGAGGAACCGATCAATCGCAGAGGTGGACGCACACTCGTGAGCACACCACCGAAGGAATTCTGGACGCTCGATTGGCCTCTGGCCACTACCAGTCCTGTGTAACCTGACCTGATCTGACCTGGATTGGTAGTTTGAAAGTGACCTAGAAAGTGTGCAATTCTAGTGGAAGCACATAAAAGGCAACCTTCCGGAGGTAAACAGTCAGGTGGAACCCGGAAAAAAAGCTAAGACTCCGTGGTAAACTGCCGTGTTGGAGGGCGCGTGTATAGAAAACAATGAGGTGAAAAAGAGGTGTGGCAGCGCTATCGAAGCACGGTCAAAGAGTACCTTCGGAAAGAAATTAGGCACAGCCGTTGATGTGAGGGGTAACCAATCTCGGTCCAAACAGGAGGAGACTGAATCCTCCTGAACCACCTCCGGCAGGTTTACTGACAATAAGACTGTAGACCAGAGCAAACAACAGGATATCAAGAGAGAACCCTCATCCTGAATGTGGCAATACCTGCAGATTAAGTCCATCGTGTCTTAGGAGAGCTTAATGCAACTAAAGCAGCAGACCAAGATGACTTTCACCCGGCCATTCTGAAGCCACTGACTGAACACATTGATGAGCTTCTTGTCGATGCATCACTCGCACAGGACCAGCTACCAGGAAACTGGCTACTGGCAATAGATCTTCCCACTCACAGGGGGAGAATAAAAGTCGTGCTAAAAATATCACCAGTCTGTAGAGGCCTCAGAATGAAAGCGTAAAATGCTCGAGAGTCATTATCTTTGGTATGCCTGTTCCGCATGCATGCTTCCACATGGTTCTAGTTATTGGTTGCTTGGATCACCTCGCTCGTGCATCCTTCTCCTTTGTCAAATAGATTCCGCCAGGATCGTCAATAACCTGAGACCGCTTCTCCAGTGAGGTCTTTCAGTTTTTGTTAAGTCACTACCACCTTCGGTGAAGTAACTTCACTTTAAACGGTGAGTTAGTTCAGTGCTGCACCTTAGCTTGCTAAGTTGTTCGCTTTCAGACACTCTCGAAAGTACTCAGGCTACACTTCCGGTACCTTTAGGGGAACAATACATTTTCCCTTGACTAATCGGTTGTTCTTCCTGGTTCATATCGAGATATCCAGAAACACGGGAGAATAGAGATCGGATCACTTTCGCCGGTCGTGGAATTGCACCCTCCGTCTCCAAACGTCAGCCTGACAACGGTCAGAAACATGGGTTTACACAATGTATCCATGGTCACTTCGCTGCATCTGTACACGTGCATACTGCAGTCAGTCATTTTATATAGTCAATGAGATAATGTGATGTGTGACACTGACCTCGAAATTCATTGTACACTTTAAATGCATTGAATATGCGTAGTATACAATTCGAATAAAGTTCGTGTGCTATTCCATTCGAAATTGCTCTATTTCGGGGATTGGTATTGCGCGAATTCTGGAATCCCATTTTAAATACTATTCCAAATACTATATTTGGCGTCGCGGCCGGTCTACTGAACAATGAATTCTACTCCCCTAGAGTTTCTTGATCTTAACTGCAGTGCACGTGATATCGAGGATTATTTTGAACGTTTTGAGATTTGGTGGTTGACCCGTCCAAAACCCGATGAGGAAAAGAAATCCGCTTTCTTTTTGAATGCTGCCGGTAAAAATGCTTATACATTAATCAAAAACTTGGCTTATCCTTCTCCACCTGTTTCCGTACCGTACGATGATTTAAAATCCCTCCTCCTCCAGCATGTGAAGCCAACGAACTTCGAAGCCTCAGAACGAGCAAAATTTCATTCAATGGTACGCAATCCGAATCAGGGCATCCGTGAATTCATCCTGGATTTGCTCACTCAAGCTGCAAAGTGTGATTTTGGAGATTTACTGGACATGCAATTGAAAGATCGGCTGATCGCTGGCATCAACAATACCGTTTTGCAAAATGAACTTCTGAAGCTATCCAGTCCGACGTTCAAAGATGTGCGGGCTTATTGTGAACANTCATTTCACGGTAGTTATCTCACTGACTATATAAAATGACTTTGACTGCAGTATGCACGTGTACAGATGCAGCGAAGTGACCATGCATACATTGTGTAAACCCATGTTTCCGACTTCTCTATTCAAATTTGTGACGGGAAAACATTGCTTCCAGTATCCAAGATCGTTTAGGTGATTCGCATTTAAGTATTGTAGATAGCGCAAGCTAACTAAATACCGGAAACATCCTTTCCCTTTGATCCATTTGAATAAAACAATTAACACAATATGAGCAGAATTGATATTGGCCATCAATTTTGCGTGCTCTCAGTTAGCTGTCTACGCGCATTAAATAGGTCAAATTTTATCATTGGAATACCATATATGGACATTTACAATTATATGGGGTCAAACAGAAGGCACTGAGTGGTTGAGTCATTACCAAAGTCATTTGAGTATGAGTAGAAGAGGAGGAGGGGTGGGGAATGTTAGCATAGAAAACAGTTACGTAATGGAAACCGATTAGCAATGGTGGAAAGAGAGTAAGACATGGTTACGTAATACGAGAAAGATGCAACCAGAAATGAATTGGAATAGACGCAGAAAGTTCATCGAGTAAAAAAATAATGTTCAACCAAGTAGGTCAACGAGAGTTACGTAATAATAAAATGAGAAGAGCGAAGTGTCAACGATGATGTAAGAGAACGGTTGAGATGATGGGAAGGAAAGGGGAAGGGGAATTACCATGGTAATAACAATTGCATAACAAGGGCCTTTTGCACGCATAGGTCAGGCTTTAAACGGCTAATGACAACCGCTTCAGCAAACCTAAGCATCCTTGGGCTTCGAACTTTGAGCACAACGCGGAAAGCTTTGCGTTTGT